TGGCTGTTTTGTGTGTATGTGTAGCTGTGATGAACGTGGCTATGGACAACCCTGCACACACATCCTGGGATGCAGAGGTGTGCATGGACTTCTGTAAAGTGTGTAGGGCGCGGTGGAATTGCTGGCTCGTAGGTCTATTTGCAGCTTTACTAAATAACTCCAAATTGTTTTCTAAAATTGTTGTACCAATTTATACACCCATCAGGAGTGAGTTACCATTGTACTTGATATTACCAGACTTTATTCTTGCCAAACTGGTAGGTGTGTAGTGGTTTTTTGTTGTGGTTCTGATTTTCACATCCTTGATTACATGAATGTCTTTCATTTATTAGTGGCCATTTAGATTTCTTCTTTTGTGAAGGACCTATTCATTTCTTCTGCCCTAATTGTTAGGTAATCTATTTTTTTTCCCCTTTAACTTACTTGAAGGTCTAATCAAGTCACTGAATCACAAAATTCTAAAACTTTAGAGCTAGAAGGGACCTTGGAGAACTTCTAGTCCAATATCCTCTTCAAGACATGAAACAGACTCAAAAACTGGCCTGCCTGTGGCCCCAGAGACAGCCCTGCAGCAGGGGGCAAAGCCTCATCTTCCAGATCCTTCTGGGTCGGGTACAGTGCTCTTTCCTCATTTCTCCGCGGTCTGTCCCGCCGGTTCCCGCTCTCCTCACCTCAACCCAGCCCCCCTCCCACCCACTAAACCACACTACTGCTGCTCCCCTAGTTCACTCTGAGCCCGGATGGGCCGCGATGGCCAGGTCCAAACCAAAGTCATTCTACCTCTGCTCCAGCCCTCCTACGGAAACACATACTGACTTCCCTAATGAATATCCCACATCGTGTGCCTTTGAAGGGGTGAGATCACGGCCTTCTCTTGTCTCCAGAAGAGAGGGAGACTCAGTGCGGACCAGAAAGGAGAAAGCCGCTGCCCTCACCTGCCAGTGCCGTTGAGCCCAGGGGTGGAAAATCCCTGCATCTTCTCTAAGGCGACCGCGGGAAAGCTGCAGGACAGAGGCGCATACTCAGGCCCCACCTGGGGACAAGAGGCTGACGCCCAACGGCCAAACACGGAGGTCGCCAGGATCGTCCACTCATCAAGAATGGAAAGGATCTACCCCAGGATCACAGCCAACTAGTGGCATCTCTGTCAGGAGCCATGAACCCTGATTCCCATACCATCCTTTGTTGAGCCCCAGGCCCATGACCTTGAAGTGGGGACTTGCGGGTGGGAGGAAGGAGACAATACAGATGCCCAAGCAGGCTTCATCTTACTCATGTTCCTGAAAACGTCTGCGGTCGTATTCATCAAAGATGGGGCGCCAGGCATAGATGTTGATGACGGCCACGGCCCCGGTGACGAGCAGCATGAGTGTGAGCTTCACCATGTGGCTGACCTGCACCAGCATGATGGTGGCAATGAGGGACAGCACGGCGACATAGTTGTAATACTTGGGGTTCTCTACACAGCCATCCTCCACCTCCAGCCCTGCAGTGCTGTTGTTCGGTCCTGTGTAGTACTGGAGACAGCTGAGCTGGAGGCCAGGACAGGGGAGCGGGGAGGACATGGGGTGCAAGGGAACAGCAGACGCTGGTCAGAGGCGGCTGGGTCGTGCCCACCACGTCCCACAGCTCCCTCGGAAACACTGACAGATGGGACAACTGACCAAGGAACAAGAATACAAACGTTAGTAATTCCCACTAAGAGCTGAACCGTATCTCATTTGATGTTTATGAAAATTCTCGAGCGTCTGTAGGATTGCCACCGTTATAGCAAAGCCAAAGAGGCTGGCCTGGCGCCAACCAGCGCACTCAGCAGGTGGTAGAGTCAGAGCGAGGAGTCCAGTTTTTAGGTTTCACATACAACACGCTCTTGCTCACGGCACAGTGTTGCTTAAGGAGGGGCCGTGGGGCCAGCCAGGGAGCCTCCGTCACGGCTTCGCCACCTGGCAGCCAGTCTCTGCTCAGACACTTCCGTTTCTGGAGCCTGCTCCCGCTGCTGGGCAGACGTAAGTCAATGGCGAGTGCATCCATAAACTGAAGCAAACCTAATTCCTGTAACTTCCACCCACTTGTGGAAGGTGCTTGTCTGGCTCTGGGGAAGTTCTCAGCATGTGAGAAGTTTTCATACCTCCCTGGTCTTTCACCCCTCCCCTGGCAACAGGACCTCGAGATGTCCTGCACAGAGTCCGTGACCCTGGTAAACAGCAGTCCCCAGACCCAGCACCAGGCTCCAGGTGTGCTCCAGCCAGGCTAGGGGCTCGGACTTCTCTTCCCTGCGCTTGGGCACTGTGCGACCAGGGGCACGTTCAGTTCTGCAGGTCCTGACTTCTCGTTCTAGTTGGGCTTTGGATCAACTGGCCCACGGGCTTTTTCACCTAGACTGCTGCCAGAATAAGTCTCCATGATGAGTTTTTTCCCTGTGCTTAAATTGTTACTTGAAAAAAGTAGGACTTTTAAGAGCATGTATACCATACTCCCAAAATTGTTGGGAGCTGTGAGGACTGACGAGAATGTCAACTGCAGCTCCCAGCTGCCAAGGCTCAGTAACTGACTGGTGGTTCTGAATCCACAGAGCTGGGCTTCTAAGTGCTGTCCCCCCCACCCCAAGAAAGCATCTGGCTGCCCCCTTGACACCTGCCGCTTACTTCTCCATGAATTGAGAGCAGAGAAGATGATTTGACTGCCCCTAGCCATTTGGGCTCTAGGAAGGTCTGGCAATGTTCAAATGGATGAAGGCCAAACAAGAGAGCTCCTTTAGCAGAACAGGTTTCCCTCCCTGGTCCTGGATACATGACACTAGCCACACTGTAGGGAATACTTAAGATGTGCATTGTGCCCCTTGATCAGTAAGATAGGGAGTTTCTTCACAGGATTGGGATTTAGAACAGCTCGATCCTTGATTCTGTCACTTACTGACAGTGTGACCTAAAACAAGTGAATTAACCTGAGCCTCGCAGCTGTAGATAATGATACCAACGTCTTGGGACTGTTAGAAAGATTAAATGAGTCAACATCCAGCACGGGGCCTGGGCATGGTGTTGGGCTCTCGGACTCTGGGAGAGCAAGGAGCTGGGGCAAACAGGTCAGTCTCAGGTTTCTGGGGTAGAAGACCCTGTCCATTTGGCCAAGGTGATCTGTTTAGGAAACTAAGTGCCAATCTAAACCTGTGTCTAGGGGTGGAGGATTGGTTGACCAACTGCTCATACTGGCCAATATAGAAGCCCTTCTGCACTGAGTCGGCGGTGGGGGGGGGGGTGTCCCTTGACCAGGCACAGCAGGAGCTCACCATGTCCACGACATTTGCCATGACGAGAATGAAGATGGCTAACATGGCCCAGGTGTTCCTGGCCCAGCGGGTCCGGTCGATCCAAGTCGAGAAGGCAACAAGCTTCTTAGGAAAGGCCTAGAAGGAATGGAATTTCAGGGGCCGTGAACTTTTGGGACAGTCTTTTCTCCCGTAAATAGGACTGCTAATGATTCTGGTTGCTCCCCTACCTCCCAGGAACCTAAAGTGTAATCCTTTGCCTGTGAGTCCACCAAAAACTGACTGGCGGAGCTGAGAAGGCAGCGCAGGAGGCTGGCGCTCTTTATCAGTCCCCCTGGAGGGGTCTGTGACACAGGGCCCCCACCAGCGCCCTCTCTGGAGCAGACACAGTGACCAGGCCAGGAGGCTGTGGGCAGCGCCAGCCAGCGGCAGCCCGCCCCATAAGTCCAGCAGCAAGGCCATGTCAGGGAACGATTTTCAGGGCCAGCCACGTTTGCCTGGCTGCTCCTGTCTTTTCTGGGTCAGTATAGCCGAAATCCTCCAAGTCACCCGGCAAGCCACCTGCTGGTCTCATTACCCTGAAACACTGCTTTTCTCCTCTCATTCTGATCAAAAACTCTGCATAGCACACCCCAGCTCTTACGGGAGAAACCCTCAGTCCCTTTGGCTTTCACGGTCCTTCACAGTCAGGGCCAACCCCCTTCCAGCTGGGCCTCCACTGCTTTTCTACAGTTTCCCAGGCATTTGGGCTCTGGCGTAGGCACTGTGCTTGCTCAGCTGACGTGAGTGCGTGAGTGAGGAGGAATGAATGGATGGACAAACGCCTGAACCGTCCTAACACGACAGTCTGTTTGTACAGAGTCGATGGGACGCCTGACTCCGTCCATACCGCTCCCGCTTCCCAAGGGCTTCGCGGTCAAAAGGAAAAGCGGCTCTTACCCGGGGAAAGATGGCGGCCAGCGAGCAGATTGTCAGGATCAGAAGTAGAACCTCCCCGACCACAAAGGTCACGTAGTTTGTCATTAGCCTGTAATGGGGAGACGACAGGGAGGGGGGCGGAGGGATCAGTGAGATCGGGGGAGGGGCGAGAAGAGGAGGCCCTCTAGGCCTGCACCTGAAACATTCCCAGGACGCCATCGACTCATGCCTCCTGCTGCACAGACGAGACAGAGGCCGAGTCGGGCGGCTGCCAGCTGAGTGCAGGGCACGGGAACGAGCACTGCCCCCCGCCCCAGTGGTAGCTGTTGCTGGGGCGCAGGGGGTTCTTGGGAGTGAGCACTGTGCCGTGAAGGGGGAGCGTGGGACAGGGCAGCTCGCCTGCTGCCAAGGGCTGGGAGGGCTGGAAGGGCTACCCCCCGACACAGACAACTGCACAGAGCTTCACAGCTGCACAGGGCCTCCCTCACCCACCTCTGCAACTCTGAGCAACTCGGAGTCTCCAAATCCTCCCCGTTCGCACAACCCCTACCATTTGGTTCTGGAGAGACCTCTGTTGCTAGGCCAGTGCCTGATTCTCGGTCACCTCTCCTCTCCCTCTGGGTCTTTACTGAAATTCCACCCTGTGCCCTGTTGGTGAGGCCTGCTCCGCCCCGTGCTCTACGCAAATGCAGAGCAGACAAAATTAAACTCGCCACCAGCATTCCCGGCTCCCTTCTTCACTTTTATCCACCCACTTGCCGCTGTCCGCAGGCATGTTTTGATTATTCAGTTGTTGATCTCTGTCTTCCCCTGCTAGAATGTAAGCTCCACGAGAACCAGGCTGTTTGTATGCTGTGTTCACTGTATATCCCTAGGCCTCAGTGCCAGGCGCAGAGTATCCAGTGAGTATCTGCAGTGAATGAATGCGTTTGATCCTTCCAACAATCCTGGAGTTATACGGGCAGACATTATCACCTTCAAGTTGTTGGTATCATCATCGTATTTGGTTTCTAGAACCTTAGGGACATGGCCATACAACAAATCGGCCAAGAAGTGTGTCTAGAACTTGTAACTAAGTCCAGGGCTCTTTACGGTCCCCCTAACTATAGCTGGAACAGTCTCCACCGCCTCCCGTCTGACAGGGAACCCCTGCGCAGGAGAGAGCGGCCGAGGGGCCACGGGGAGGGAGGGGCGTGGCAGCTGTCCTTTACTTGGGCCTCAACAGCTGGGGCAGGGCTGTTGAGGTCTCCAGAACATCCCCTGCCCCAGGGGACCTGCTGCTGTGTGACAGAGCTGTTTGTACCCAGAGCCTAAAATCCATCAGCTAAGATGAAGCAAGAAAGGGAAGCCAGATCAGCCCTGATGACTGAGCTTGAGGAGTGTCCCCCATCTTCTGTCTCCTTGTCCCAGAACTGCTCAGGCCCATGCAGCCAGGGTCTCCAACCTCCTGGACCCCTCTCTGTCCTTCAGCTTTCTCAGTCCTGGTTTTGATGCTAATGCTATTCTAGAACCCCAAGGTAGATAGGAAGGAGAGGGTCCAGGGCATGGTCCTAGCAACACGTGGGCCTGAATTCAGCTGGGCTGCTCCACTGGAGGCAAGGAAGAGACCAAGCTTTTGCCCCGATGTCATGCTCCAGCTGAGGCACCTACATCGCTCACACCTCTAGCCTAGGAAGCTCATCACCTTTCACCCTCCCCTAGCCTATCAGCTCCTGCCATGCCCTCCCTCACCAGGGGTCGATGAGTATCTCGACCAGGGCGGTGCAGAGCAGGACAACGCAGGAGCAGCTGAAGGCAGCCCCGCTCTGCTTTTCCTTCTCCACTGAGTAGCGGGTTTCCATCTCGGGGTCCATGAACCTCATGGAAAGGAGGAAGGTATTTCTCTTCTTCACTCTGCAGTGGGAACAAGCCCCAGCGAACACAAATGTCACATCTGCCTTGGCCAATCAGGAAGGGGCCCCACTCAAGATGGCCAACTTCCTGAAACCCCGAGTCAGGGCCCACGAGGGTGTGCAGAGGAACCACTTACACCTGGGCAGACTCTCGCTCAAGCAGGGCCTCGTTGAGTAGCTGGTTGAGCTCATGCTCGTCCTCAGAGGCGTCCACCACTCGGTCAGCCAGGTCCTGAAGGCGCAGCCTCCGGCGTGGGTTGGGGAACGAGGGATTGTCAGCCTGCAAGCCAGCGCAGGAGGTGGGGGGTGGGGGTGGGGGGTGCAGGAGGAGTGGGGGAAAGAGGGTGGTCAGGGGAGAGGAGCAAAAGGGATCACACTCAGGAGGACTAGGCCCTCGGCTCTAGAAACCACTTTATGGGAAGTCTTCCCAGCCTCCCCATGCAGCTCCTTCTGCTTGGGTCTGGACCCAAAGCCACAGTCCTTCCTGGTTTCCGGGCCCTGTGGCCCCTGCTAGGAGGAGGGGGTGCCACCCAGCCATGCACATTGGCATCCCCAGGGAGGTGAATGGCCCCAACCCTGGGGCTTAAGGGGGCTCTTACAGGAATACATATCCAGTTCATTTGGGGGAAGACGGTCTGAGGGACGGGAAGTGCTGGGAGAGGAAGGGACACCCTCGTCACTAGCGGGGTGGTAGGGCTGAAGTACCCGCTACCATTTTTATTCCTACAGAGGAGAAGCATCGGCTCCAAAAATATGAATCCAGACTGATTACACGGCCATCACCCCAAATAATAATGGGACACTGGGCTCGTCAGAGCTGTGTGTACGGGTCCAAGATAGCCCGGCCTTAAGCTTGGGTGTACCGCTGGCTGACAATAGGACCCATGTGACTCATGTTCCCCAGCTCCAACTTTCTTCTCTGTAAAATGACGTGGAAGGTCTGTTCTAGCACCAAGAACCTCTGTCCCCAAAGCATCTGCTGGAGAGTGGGGCTAATTGTGAGGACAGAAAAACCACAGGCTTCTAAAACTATCTGCGCCCTCGTTGCCGAGTTACATCAGGTCTGTATTTCCACTTTCTATCCAGAAAATCACGCTGGGGAAAAGTTGCTGAATATCATGGTGATCCAGAGAAACCCAGCTAACCTTCAGCCCTGTCTCCCCTCTTGTTCTGCAGCACCTGATCTAGAGGCACCAGGGCAGTGAGAATGGGGGTGCTGCCAACAAGCTCACCTCGGCAAGGCAGAGATCCCTGTCCCAGAGCATCTGCCTTCATCAGTGAATGTACTTGGGCAGCTCTTTAATAAAGGACAGGTCCTGGATGCTCTCCCAAGATGGACCCTGTCCTCGGGGTGGGGGGGGGGGGCGCGGGTAGCACGTTCACTCCTCTGGAAATCCCCCATCTGTGCCTGGGACTTGTCGAGTCTGGACCTCACCAGAGAGGTGAGTCCACCCTGAAGTCTCACTTCCAAAACAGTCTTGTCAGATCCTACAGAATTTTCCACGGATGTCCTCACTGCCCTCAAAGTCACAGGATTCTGGGACAGGAGAGCTAGACAAGGCCTCAGAGCTGAGCACCTCTTCTGACCCTATCCACGGCAACCCCAGTAGCTACTGAGGAGACAGTGGGGCCAGGGCAGGAAGTGCCACCCAAGGTGACACTGCTGAGAAGGAGTGGCGCGTGGGCCAGTGGCCAGGTCTCCTACCCCTGCACAGGACACTTCCGACAGCAGCCTTCACCTCCCTGCCGCCGTGCCCTGGCCCTCACCCGTACGCACCTGACCACCCTGCTCCTCAGGCTCCCCCGATGTGGAGCCGCTGGTGTGGGTGCTCCCGTTGGGCTCCTTGGTCTCGATGAGGGCGGGGGAGCTGGGCTTGGAGGAAGCTGGCGCTCCGTTTCGCAGGGCCTGCAGCGGGAAGAAGTGGCCATCAGAGACACCAGACACAGTCTGCCCACCTGCCCCAGCAGAGCTGGTTGGTCTACTGTGGGTCTGAAATGTTGCCGCAAAAGTTTAGAAGCCTGTAGGCTAAGAAATGTCACTCCCTGACTCCTCCTCTAGAATGTTAATTTTAAAATGCTGTACACTCCTGGTATCTATTTCCACTACTAGAATTTTTCTAAGCAGAGAAAGACCCTCTTGTTCCAACCCGTTTCTAAAATAGTAACTCAACACAGTGATCCACAGAGGTCCTTTTTGTTTGTAGAACCTGTCAAATGCCTTCCAAAAGTCTGACTAAATCCCACAAGCCCGTTTCCCCAGTGATGAGTCCTTTTCCTTGACCGAATAAGTCAAACACTGTAACACGGTGAGACAATCCGCTCATTTCACGAGTATTTGCTGAGTCTCTAAATTTCTGGGGATACGTGAAACATCCTGTGTGAGCTCACATTCTAGTGAGGAAAGGCGGACAGCAGGAAGACAAGTCAGTCAAATTAGTACAGTACGTAAGAAGGGGGTAAGTGCTCTGGAGAGAGGTAAAGCAGGCAAGGGGCACAGGGATCGCTGGGGAGCGAGACAGTAACGAGGTCAGGGGAGGTGTCACCAAGAGGATGACATTTCAGTGATGACCTGAAGGAGTGAATCCTGCAGCTCTCGGGGAATGCCCCCCCACCCCGGGAAGAGAGAGAAGCTGGTGCAAAGGCCCTGCGGCAGGCGTGTGCTCAGAGCACTAGCCGGGAGGCCCGTGCCACCCCCAGGGCAGTGAATGAGAGCAGAGCGAGGGCCTGGCTGTACCCGGCCTTCTCTCCGAGGCAGAGCCCAAGGCAGTGACGGGACGCCCCCTGGCGCTTCAGCGGGAGCACCGCCTGCTGTGGAGAAAGGATGGCGGCCCGGTCAGCGGCAGGATCACTGGCTGGAGACCCGTGATCCGGCCGCGTGGCGGCTGCAAGGGCATGGGGCGGGGGAGTCCGAGCCCTCCCTCGCAGGAGGGTCCACGGAACTGGCTTGTGGCGGGTAAAGAGAGGGGTCAAGCCTGTGTTCGGTGTTTGGTCTGAGCTGCCGAAAGAACAAAGCCGCCACCGAGGAGATGGGAAGACAGAGGGCTGAGCAGGCCCCGGGCCAGGGACCGGGGACCGAGCTGCCTGTGTTCACGCAGGGGTGAGTGCAGGCAAGCCGGCTGGGCCTGAGGTGGAGACCCGGAGTCATCAGAGGAGGCATCTGAGAGCAGCCTGGCTGAGCCTCACAACAGAGCAGGGTGGGCAGGGAGAGGTCTGGAAGCTTTTCGGCACTCGGGAAGGACTCATTGTGAGGACTGTCCTCACTCTCCTCGTCTGTCGCTTTATCTCACAGAACCACGGGGACAGATTTCTGCAAGTGGAACTGCGTTCGCTCCCGGGACTTCCCAAGGAGCACCCCTCACCACCTTCCTTCCTCCCACTGTCCCCCCCCATGTTCCCTCCCCCCCATAGAGTCTGCGCGTTCCTGCCTCCGACCCGGTGGTGGCCGAGCAGGTGAACGTCGCCTTATCTGCCCACGTCTGAGGTGGAGACTTCCGGAACAGTCGCTCGGCTGGCCACACGAGCCACAGAGGCTGTGACACGTGGTTCCCCGGCCCGCGCACCCTAGCCGCGAACACGGGGGCACGAGCTACCGCAGCTAAATGTTCAAGTTCCCCGAGATGTTGAATGATGACTCAAGCACAACAGCTTCATAAAGCCCACTCTGCCTCAGTGGCCTCATCTGCACCCTCGGAGGGGTGGCCGGTGCAGCGAACAAAGCCTGACCCAAAGTACATACCATGCAAGGGTTGTTGAAACAAGCAAAATAAAATACAAGATTAGAACAAAGGAGAACGAGTGTGGTCCCACAGACCTATCTGACTGCTATTTGTGACTTCAAGGTGGTCCCTGGTAAAACCCAACTTGTAGGTAATATTTGAAAGGAATAGCATTTCTCGATTAAAAATTTTATATGCCAGGGCGCCTGGGTGGCTCAGTTGGTTAAGCAACTGCCTTCGGCTCAGGTCATGATCCTGGAGTCCCGGGATCGAGTCCCGCATCAGGCTCCCTGCTCAGCAGGGAGTCTGCTTCTCCCTCTGACCGTCCCCCCTCTCATGTGCTCTCTCTCTCTCTCATTCTCTCTCAAATACAAATCTTTAAAAAAAATTTTTTATATGCCAGAAATTATAAATTTCCTAACACTTTATAAAAGTATCTCATTTCTAGATTATTGTCAGTTACGGTCTTGTAGAACAGCTTAGAAGACACGTTTTTAATTTGGTCTGGGGACTATATTAAAGTTCTGCATGTAGCACTCTTAAAAATATGAAGGACTCATCAAGTCTTATTTCATGAGGCTCTACTTTCTACCCTGACAGTTCCTAATATTCTGAAAGATAGCTTCTTACTTTTCTGAGTTCTCTGGAGCATTTAATTGCAGCTCAGACTTTACATGCAGCACAAAATACCCTGAACTGTCCTTTAACACTGGTGCCGAGGGGGATTTTAAGTTACTCGGGAGTGAGGTGGTGTCCTATCCGCCTGTGCGTCCCTCCCGGTGCTGAGTTCGTGTGAGCTGCACACGGGAGGGACCCACACACACCTGGGATGCACCGTGGCTGGCAGGCCGGGGGCACAGGCCCTGCTCTGCCACCTACTAAATCTGCAACGCGCGTGCAAAGTTCTGGCTCTCAGTTTCCTCCTCTGCAAAGTGGGTATGACAACAGCCCCCTTCTCGCAGGGTTGTCTTGAGGAGCAAGTGAAATTATGGACACACAGAAGCACTCCCTGAACAGTGGTTGCGATTAGAGCTAATGGACGAACCTTCTGTCTCTGTTTGATTCGGGGGTCATCACATACACTTGCGGGAGGGGAGAAGGTGTGTAGTTCTCTTTTAAAACTTCCCCAGAGGTCACGTCTTCAGCCACAGCCCCTGAAGCTTCCCCAGACCAGCTCACGCTCTGCTTTTGCCCTCACGAGGCAAAGCCCCAGCCGTGGGATGGCCTCAGCCCACACGCCATCGCCGAGAGCGCCAAACCCCTTAGTCATTACACTCTCACGACCGGTGCGACTGGTGAGCTCGTAAGTACAAAGTCACAAGGAGTGAAACAATTCCCCGGTTTAGCCGAGGAGGACGGAGGGCTCCATTGCGGCAGCGGCCCCTGGTGGCTCCGAGCCAGACGGCCCGTCAGGAGGCCGGCGGTGGGCGGGAGAAGCTGGGGCAGCGGCTCAGGGCTCCGGGTCTGATGAGAGGCAGGGAAGCAGCACAGAGACGAGCCCAGGGCAGGCCGGCTTCACTGCTTCCGGCCTGTTCTTTCTTCATCTCGCAGCCAGCAAACCTTCCCGGCCTCGGTTCCCCTCCTAGTGACCAAGCCACCCCCCACTGCCTGCCCCCAGCCTCCTCGGCCTCCGCGCGGCTCTGGGAAGCCTCTCCCTGGGCGCCCCCCCCCCGCCTCCACCCATCTCTCCCAGGGCTCCGACCGCTTCCCCCCCTACCACGCGGGGGGTTCCCTGCCCCCGCCAGCGGCCGTCCCGGTGGGGGGGGCCTCCCTTCTGGCCGCTGGAGCCTGCTCCCCGCCCCCCACGCCCCGCCCGGGTGCCCCCCACAGCCCTGGCTGCTCTTCCACCAGCCCGGCTTCTTGAACCCGCCTTCCCATGCCCTGTCCAGGCCGGGCAGCAGTCGGGGGGACTCACCGGGCTGCCGAGGCCGTGCTGCGTGGCTGTTTTCTTCACCTCTGGCTTGGACGCGATGATGAGGTAGGTCTCGATGCCCTTCTCGTCCAGGTACTCACAGCGGCTGCCCCCGTCGCCCGGCTCCACGTCGAACTCGCCCTTCAGGCAGTCCAGGGTGCTCTGGGAGATGTGCACACGCCTGCACGGCAGCGAGAACCCCGGGCGCGGGGCCCGTCAGGCCGCCAGACCCCGGGGAGGCCACCCACGCCTCTGAGCCTTGGCGCTACATCCATGAGGCAGGAAGGCGCCGTCCCCAGGCCGCCCAGAGCACGGAGGGAGGTGAGGAATCCGGAAGGCCGCCCTGAACCCTGTCGTGACGTCCTACCGCAGCGAACCTTGCGGGTTCCTAGTTGCAACACCTGTCGTCAGGGGGTAATAAGCCTGTTTCTGGGGAGTCACCACGGAGGGAGAGGGTCGTGACTGCCTGCGAGGGCCGCGCCCTGAGCCAGGAGGGGAATGTGCGGCCGCGTCCTCAGCCCGTCCGCCCTGACTAGCTGAGTGTGACAGAGCTCCAGCCGGGCGTGCAGGTGCCTCGGAGCCTGCTCCTCCAGCTCGGCGCCCTTGGGGGGACCCGGCCTACCCAAGTAGCCCCCCCGCACAGTACCAGTATGCCGGCATCTATGGCCCCACAAGTGGGCGGAGGGGCGAGAGGGCACCTGCCGCAGAGGCCACAGCCGGGCTCCGGCCAGGAGGCAGGCGCCCCAAGGAGGAACGCTGCTCCGGGGGGGCTCTCGTCTGAGCCACAGCCCCGAGGGGCGGACGGCCCCCTCTCTCGGCCCCCACACCTCCCCGCTGGGAAGGAATGCTGGCTCACCCGGGGATGCCACCGGCCTCCATCTTGTTGGCCACAGTGACGTCGGTAGACCACACGTCGTACTGCCAGCGCTTCTGGCCCAGGACGCCCCCCAGCACGGTGCCCGTGTGCACCCCCACACGCATGTCCACCCCCGTCTTCGTCTTCTCCCGCACGTACCTGCCAGGCACACACGGAGAGAAGGGCTTGGGCATGGCCGCAGCAAGGTGGCCGGCCCTCCATGCCCCGTGGACGAGCTCTGCACGGGCTTTCTTCCCCTCAAGGCCGAGGGGACTCCCGGGCAGCCCACAGCTCTCTGCCTGCACTTGAGCTGAGTAACCTGTGGCTAGGGGTCCAGCGGGCCGACAGAGGGAAGGCTGCTACTTCCCCGCGTCCACCTGCGCCGGGCACCGCGCCAGGGCTCACGTGCAGCCGGGAAAGCCACCCCGTGGTGAGGGAAGTGGAGGCGAGTGAGCCTGAGCTACCCCCTCCCCCCACCCAGTGCGGCATCTGTTTCTAGGCCAATGTCAGAGGAGCTCTAACCCGAAGACGGTAACAATGCAAAATGGTCCTCTGGTGGCAAGGTGACCCCTCCTGGCCCCCACCCCAGCTGGGGGAGAAGCCTCAGCAAGGAGCCCCTTTCCCTCCTGGGGCCTGATCCAGCCAGGGCCTGCCTGGTAGGGCCTCCAAGGCGCGGCAGGGAGTGTGAGGGCGAGAGTACAATGTCCTCACAGCTCACAGCGGTGGAGGCTGGGAGCCCAGAGCAGAGGCCAGGGTTCCAGCCCCACACAGCTGCACACGGACTTGCTGACCGGAGATGGGCCTGGAGGCTCACAGTGAGAAAACACTGAGAGAGGGATGGGGGACCTGGGGGGAAATCCAAACGAATGTGAGGGGCTGTGACAGACTTCACCACGACGGCCACTTCTCCAGAAAACCACAGCGGATGGAGGCTGGGCCCCTCGGAGGCCGTGGAAGGCTGGCGGCCCCTCAGCCATAAGGAAGACGAGCCATGTCCCCCACTTCCCCAAACCGGGGACTGGGCTGCCTGCCGACCAACACAACACCCACGGGACGTGGGGGCCTGGGGTGCGCTGGGCCCCCACAACCGAGCACGGAAGGCCTGCCTCTCCCGTGGTCCACCGCCCCTCCCCCCGGGGCCCCCCACTAACGAGATGGCCTCCACCATGGCGAGCCCCATGAGGATGGAGCAGACGGCGTGGTCCTCCCGGTAGTCGGGCAGGCCGCAGATGCAGTAGTAACAGTCGCCCAGGATCTTAATCCGCAGCTGGTGGTATTTCTGAAAGCACAGGGTGTGGGGGGTGGCTCTGAGTCCCTCCGGGACCCGGTGGGAGGAAACCGGGTGAGCCGGGTCAGGGGGGCCAGGCCCACGCCCCGAGGGTGGCCCCCGAGCCCGAAAGCCCAGCGAGGCCCGGGCACTCACGGCGGCCAGCTTGTCGAAGCGGGCAAAGAGCTCATTGAGCAGCTTCACGAGCTCCTGGGCACTGCAGGCAGAAGACAGCTGGGTGAAGCCCACGATGTCCGCAAAGAGGATGCTGCGAGAGGAGGGGGGACAGCGGCCGTGAGGCTCCAGACAGCATGCCGGGCTCCCCCACCGGCTCCCGCTCCCCACCACAGGCAGCCAGGACCCCGGCGCAGTGGGCCCTTGCTCAGGCCCCAAAGCAGCAAGAGCCTGGCACTTCCCGGGTGAATTCGGGGCTCTGATGTTTAGCTTATCCTTGTGGGCTCCTCCTCCACGGGGCCTCCTTCCCCCACGCTGCCCGCTCCTGGCCCCAGGATAAACCCACCCCTCCTGGAAGGAGCACGGCTATGAGCCCCGGTGCTGGCCCCGAATGGCTGGGTGACCTCCCGGATGTCACCTCCCCACCCTGGGTGATGTCTGTATGATGCTGGGGCCGGACCACACAGCCGAGATGTCTCAGCCCCAACACGGGCCGGCAACACTGTTCCCGCAGGGGCTGAGGCTCACACGGCAGGGAAGGCCCGGCTTCTAGTCCTGCGGGAAGACTCTGGAACCCCACAGGGCACGGCCAACCCCACACAGTCCAGCCCCGTCCTCTCTCAGAGCCTGGGCCCGGCGCACCTGACGTTCTCGTGCCGATACATGTACATGGTGTTGAACTGCTGCTGGTCCTTCTGGCTCTCGTCCTTCTTCATGTCCTTCAGCATTTCGTCAGCCACGTGCTTGGGCAGGATGGAAAGCATAAGGTTCTCCTGGGAGGAGGAAGACAGGGTTAGTGGGGAGGCAGGGTCCGGCCTGTACCCTTCCAGGGGCAGGTTCAGATACCTGCGGCGGCAGACG